GGCCGCCCGGTCGGGGATGGGAATTGGAATTGGAATTTCTCTGCCCGCCAGGGAATGGGGAGGATTCCCGGGCTGCTCATCTCCCCCGGAATGTAAGAATGTCGGGGACAAAGCAGGAGCCTTTCCCCGCGTTCCCCTATTCCACTGATTCCAAAACAGAAGCCTTGACAGGGAATCATTAATTCTCAGTAATTACCTATTAATTATTAACTGACAGCAATGATTTAACGATTTGTTTATAGTTATTAGTTATCGTAATTAACTGTTGTTTTATTTAATTGGTTCCCGCGGTTATTAATGAATTATTTCCCTCCGAACGCTCCACCGGGAATCCCACGGGAGCAATTTGAGGCTGTGCGAGGGGGCGTTGCTTTTATCTCCCGTTAATTATTTCCCCTCATTAATAGAGCTCGATTCCCTCGTTTTTAAAAATCCCGATTTTTCCGCCCTGGCTATAAAATCCCCTTCGACATTTTTGTCATTTTCCCCGCATTAACTGACTTTCTATTATTTTAATTAATTTGCAATTAATTCCCCGTATATTCGTCCTTTTAAATGTTTTTTTCTCCGGGGTTAAATTTTTTTTTGTTTTCCTTTTTTTTTTGTTTGTTTGTTTCATTGAGTTTTTTATTTATTTGGTTTTTAATAATTTTACCGTTTCTAACCTGCTGCGAGTCGTAACCTCAGCCATGCCGGGAAGGAGAGATTGAGCGAGGAAATAAATATTTCAAGCTGATTATTTAAATATTAAAAAAAAAAAAAAAAAGAAGAAAAGAAGAGGGAGAGAAGGAAGGAAGGAAGGAAAATGAATGAAAAAAATGAGAAAGAAGGAAAGGAAAAAATAAGGATATAAATAAGGATATAAAACGACCACAGCCACTTTTGCATATTTAACATATTTTTGACGTATTTAAAATTACTTGGAGCCTGAATTTTCTGATTTCCCAATTTTTAAGCTGTTTTGTCCCCAGACTTTCTTTAAACCTTTGTAGGCTTTAAATTTATTGGTGGGCTTTCTTTGCGTGTGGTTTTTAAATTGATTTTTATTTCTCTCTTTAATTTTTATTTTAAAATTTCCCCGGCTTTCCCTTTGGATCGGTTTTCTTGTTCTGCCACTTGTCTGGGGCGAGGAAAATTGATTAAAATTGGATTAAAATTGGATTACAATTGGTTTGTTGGATTATCCGACAAACGAGCTGGAGGAGGAAGGGTGGGCTGGGGGTACCTGCAGCGAGCGGGAAAATGGGAAAAGGCAGGTAAGAAGGAAGGACAACCCAGCCAGGCAATTTCAGCCCTTTCCCAATTTCCTGGATTTCCCTCCCTGCTTATCCCCGTGCCTCCAGCAGCCCCGGGATAAATATCCCGATCCCTGAAGGCAGAATTCCCGAGGGCTGAGCTGGGGTGGGACGGAGCTCAGCAGGAATTCCATCACCTCTGGAATGGAGACACGGTCCTGTTCCTTCCCCTTCCCGGCACAGTCACCTCCCAGGACACCCCAAATTTTAGGAATTTTTGGGGATGTGTTCTGTGCGTGGCTGGGGCTGGTCGGGGCCACCTGGCCAGGTCCCCCCGTGTGGCCGGCAGTGCCACCAGCGCCGTCCCTGTCACTGGGGGTCACATTCGCTGTTGGGGGCTCTGGAGGCGGTTTTGGGGTGTCCCCCCCGTGCTCGGAGCGCCTCCATCCCCTGCCTCGCCTGTCCTTCTTCCCTCTCCTTCCTGCAGGGGTGGACAGAAAACCGCCCAGCCCCGCGGGGAAAGCTGCGGAGCCCCTGAGCGCCATCCACGGCATCGCCATCCCGACCTCCTCGTCCTAGAGCGGCCGAGCAGCTCCCAGGGACTCCTGGAACCTTGGGATGGGCTCCTGCAGCCAGGAGCGGGGACACGGGACAGCCCGGGCGGTGACAGGTGACTCTGCCTCGGCACACCCCCGGCAGGACATTCCCGGAGGGACGCTTGGCCTCCACTGGATCGGAAAGGGATGACGGAAGAGACTCAGTTTTCCCTTATTTTATTTTATTTTATTTTATTGTATTTCCTCCCCCTCGCTTTCAGTTTTTCCTTCTCCTCCTCCATACTCCCGAGGACTGTTGGGTGCCGTGATTGCCTCCCTCCCTCCGGGAGCAATTCCCGGCTTCCCCAAGGAGCCTCCTCCGTGCTGGAGCCCTTTCTCCAGCCCCTTCCCAGTGCCTCTGCCCTGCCATGGAAACGGACCAAAATTCCAGGACTTTTTATGGGATATTTCTATAATAAGGAACCTTAATAAAAAGTGACCACAGTGGGCACACTGCAGTGACCTCCCTACTCAGGGTGAGCACCGTCCCTTCTCCAGAGCTCTCCAGGAGCGGGACAACTCGGTGGGATGCCTTGGAATCGCTCCCTGAGCTTCCTCCCGGGATTTTCCCGCATCCCGGCGCTCCGTGGCCGCCTCCCCGCCGCTGGCGCTGCCTATATCCAGGGGACTGTCCCCGTGTCCCCGCGGTCCCGGCAGCCGGCTGGGATGCGCTCGGGATGGGGCTCCGCATTCCCGGCTCCTCCAGCTGGCGTGGATCCCTGCATTGTGTGGGAAGGGGCAGGTCCTGCAGTGGGGCAGGGAGGGAAGGTCCTGGCAGCGGAAAACACGCCGGGATTGCTGCGGAGAGCGCGGCTCGGTGGGAGGGAGGGAGGGAACAGGGAGATGCCAACGCAGCCCAGCCCGGGACACGGTTCTGTCTCCAGCCTCGGCGTGGCAAAATTCGGTTCTGGCTCTGCTAAAGCCAGGCTCGGATCCCCAATGCAGGGCTCGGCAGGGAGGGAAGCTCCTGGGAAATCCAAGGAGGTGAGAGCACAGTCCCAGGGCAGGATCTGCAGCCCGACTGCGGCTGAGCGAATTTTAGGGATGTGAGAATGGAGGAGCCACCTGAACCAGAGGAGGAGTGGCCCCGTCCCCTGCCAGGTTTATCCACTAAAAGCCGCATTCCAGCGCGTGGAAGAGCAGCTTTGGGAATGATGCGGGACAGCAAAAACCTTAAAGTGTGCTGTTTGCTGTGTGCCAGTTCTCAGCATCCGCTGGGGCTCCTCATCCCTGCATTGCAGGCAGGGATATCCCTCTGGATTTGGGACTGGGGCTCTGGGATGTGATTCCCCAAACCCTTATCCCAGGCAGGGATATGCCTTTGGATACAGATCTGGGATTGGGCGCTCTGGGATAAGCAAGGCACCAGCGCTGGAGTCAGATCCTTTCCATTCTGGTCCTGCCAGTATCGTGCATGACCACCTGAGTTATTCCCATCCAAAACTGCCATGGACCTGCCAAAACCCTGGAAAAACAGCTGGATGCTGAGCACAGCCTCAGGGCAAAGGTGGCCATTCCTGGGCACTCCCTGGCTGTAATTAAAAATGCCATTTTCACGATTTCCTGTGGAGAAGGGATTTTCTCCTTAAACATCCCCAGAATATTTCCCTGTGCCCAGCAGAATTCCTGGAGCAAGCAGAGCCACCAAAACCCCCAATCCAGAGGCCCTAAACCAGCTGGCACCTGTTAGGAGGGTCCAGGACATCGTGGCTTGGGGTCCCCAGGGAGGAGGGATAAAGGAGGAGCTTTGCTGGGTGGGAAAACACCCTCAGGACTTGTATTCCCGTGGGACCACGGGGAAAATCCCTGGGGAAATTCAGTGCCTGCACTGTGCACCTCAGCTCACGGAAAATCCTGGGAGTGGAGATCCCCACCCAAAAAAAAAAAAAAAATCCCCAAAATAAGTGAAATAAAATGGGATTTTTAGGCAGGGTGAGGTGAGGTGCTGCTCTGCCTGGCCACAGAACAGGCAGCCTGACAGCATCCAGGGAAAATTGGACGTGATGGGAGCAGAACTTTTGGAATTGATGGGAGCAAAGCGAGGGGGTGGAAACAATCAGCCCTGACACTTCTGCAGCCGTGGTCCTGTCAAAATCGATCCCATCCCTCGGAACACGGCAATTCCGAAGGAATGGGGTTTGCAGCCTGGAAAAAAACGAGGCTGGAACCGTTTCCGTCAGCTCTACCTGCTCCATATATCTTTAGCACCCTTTGGGGAGCACAGAGCAGGATGGGGAATGTTACTGGAGACTGGCTGGTGGAGCCCGGATTGATTTCTTTCCTGGCGTGTTTGGAATCCTAAGGATTTAAACCCATCCCTCTGCTGCAGGAACGGGCTGGGGGACTGGGGCTCGCAGATGTTTGGCACCAGCACAGGATCTGCTTTTCCAGAATTCCAGCACTCCTTGGTCCAGGCTGGAGAAACTAGAAGGGGCTGGAGGGGATCCCCTGGGATGGCCCAGGGAAGATCCAGACTCATCATCCTGTGGATGACCCCAAGGTAGCAAAGACTGGGCCCAGGCTGGAAAAGAGCTGATCTAAAATTCCCAAAGTCAGATTGGTGCAAATCCTCTGGGTTCTTTGGAGCTAAATCCTCCTCCTTGTGCAGGAACTTGGAAAAATCCATGCCCAGCTCTCCAGAGAAGCTGCAAATCCCCCCCCCTCATTTGCAGGGTTATAAACCTGCCCACAACTCCTTAAGTTGCGCTTGGAAACGGGAATTTGATTCCCAGCTCCCTCAGGCACTTCATAACCTCTCCCTTAATAG